CCCCCCCCCCCCCCCCCCCCCATACATGAATGAGTGAGAAATCGTACCAGGTACAGTATTTCGTACACCTTATGGCCTACTCTTTGGGCAGCAAAACCAATCAAAACACATAATTTACAGTGCGAGAGCAACATCAGCTGTAACGACAGGGTATCATTGAATACGAAGGGTGGGTGGAAAGGCGTCATATTGAGGGAGAGAGAAAGGCGTGTGGGAGGGGGGGAGAGGGGATGGTGAACACACACAGAGAGCGAGATAGAGGGGGCGATATCGGCAACCATCTCTACAGCTGTGGCGCCTTGAGTAGGTCTTTTCGTTACGCTACCGGTAGGTACGCACGCTGGTGTTCACCTGAATGTCTCCGCGAATCCGCTGAGCCGCCACCCCAGGGGACGAGAACTCATGCCTTGCTCCGGAGGCGTCGCCTATCAAGAGGGACTCTACGTAGACCTTACAAAAAAACCACAAGAGCGGTGGGGGGGGGGTCGTACTCTAATGTTTTCATGCCTTAGCGATTAGATCATTGCCCACGCGTCCTCGAGAGGACGGAACATTGCTCCAACAGGAGGAATCACCGATGGTCAATGGTACATGGAGCATTGGTGATGGGTGGAAGAGGAGGAGAAAGGACCACTCACGAAAAGCATATGGTGCTGGGACAACTATCACAGAGAACTCCACGGTTAGGTGAACAACAGCAGTCGCCACTACCGTTCTGTGCAAAACAAAACCACAAGAAAACCCCGTTAAGATCAAAACTCAGGAGAGAGCCTGTAGTCTATTCTTGCTGTGAATCTTATCGAAAAAAAATGGCGAAAAAATCGCGTCCACCACAAGAACAACCAAGAGAGGGCCTGCCTGGAAAACAATCTCGCGTCTGCCTGGAAAGCAATCTCGTGTCAAAACGAGCGGCTTTAAGCGAGAAGCGAGGTCGGCAGCCTTGTTGAGACGTCAAAGGGGGACGGGATGGAGGGATCAGGTGACAAAACTACTTCCACAGCATCAGCCAAAAAAACACGAAGTGTCCTACAGGGGTAACCACCCACTCACTCCCACGCTGGCAGGCTGGCAGACTAGCATGCGGACATGGACGCGTCTGCCACCGCTGACGGTGTTTGCTTCATCAAGGAGACGCTTTCGACAGGGAAACTCAACCGTGCCGTGTAACGCCAACACCACTACAACATGCACATCTAACAACAGCACCAACACGAAGACCAACATGAACATCAACATGAATATCTGAACTAACACCAGCATTAACACCAACGCCAGCACCAACAAAACGAACACATAATAAAAACACCAACCATCAGCATGAACACGGATATCTAAATCAACACCAGCATCAACGCTTGCACCCGCACCAACAACATCATCACAGAACTATTTAGCACAGCACCGACAAGAACAACAACACCAACAATACAAGCACATCACACCAAATAACAACAATGTCAACATGAACTCAACATGAACATCAAACACTTATACCTACACCTACACCCACACTTCCTACACCGACACCATCACCAATGCCAACAAAAAATATACATCACAGCAGCAACACCGGTCACCTTGACGCTTTTCTCGAAGCAGGCCCTTGCCAGCTTGGCGAAAAAGTACTCCGACAGCCAGCCGTGCAGGTCCCGGAAGTAGTCGGCATACGTCTCAGTGATCGTCTTCATCGCCTCGAACGTGCCGATCTCCCACTCGTCAGAGAACAGCTTTTGCACCACCTGCCAAGTGAAGCATACTTATGATTTCATCCTTTGCTATCGTGTTCGTCTTTAATCCGGAGAGCAGCTTAGCTTCCCCCATGACGCGCCCTCACGGGGTCCCAGGTCATGTTGGCCTTTGGAAGCACTTTCTGTTTTCAGCGGCAATGAGACTGAGGTATTTATATTGGTCAGCCGGTTGAGAACATTTAATTGTGCGTGCTTGGTCCACTCCTTGTCACAGCCAAGACATGAGACACGAGATACACTTTTGGATTGGGGTCATCAGAGGTTTGGTGCTTCAACCAATGGCAACCAAAACAACAACAGCATCGGAAACTACAACAACAACAACAGCAACAACAACAGCAACAACAACAGCAACAACAACAACAACAACATCGGAAACTACAACAACAACAACAACAACAACAACAACAACAACAACAACAACAACAACTTGCCTCGGCATCCTCCAGGGTGGCAATCATGGAGTTGCTGATAGCCCCTGTCGCTATCAAAGCTACCTCCACGTATGCTCCAGACACGGTGTCGATCATGCCTATTTGTATTTCAGAGTAAGGGTGCGGGGTACATATTCGTGAGGCGGGAA